AAAAGCATATAAATACCTTTAAAACTGGCCCCTTCTGAAACAAGGACCTTCTCTGAGGAAAAATATCCACAACCAAATAAACCAAAAAACCAAGACTAAATTATTTCAAAAGCCTGTCCTTCAAAATATTTTGTAATATGCTTGTAAAGACTTCACTGAGTGTATAAACTATGCAAACCCATAGTATTCCCATTTACAAAGTGATAATGGATTAAAAGGGAGTAAGGCATTCAAACGTAGCAGAAATAACTGATGTTCTCATTTCCAGGAACTCAAGATTTTCTGCTTATGCAAGCATGCTTCCTTTTGAAATAATTCTGCGAAGTACAGGAAATACATGTAAATCACCTCACTTTGAAAAAATAACATGAGACAAATCACGAGCACTCTTGATTTCTGTAACAGCATCTCTCTAAAAACTCTCTTATAGAAAAAAAGTAGAATGGAACAAACGTAAGCTTTAGAATGCAGTACTGGTTAGAATCACAAATCAATTCACAGACGTTAATGGTCTAGGTTGCACCGATTGGGACAAATGCAAATCGACAAAAAACAGACACAAGAAATCCCCAAACCCTAAAAATCAATAACAGGAACTGATTTTTGTCAGACAAAAGATGAGAAAGCAAAAAGGAATTATTGGTGAGTTATGCTCCATTAGTTGCAAATCTAGGTAAAATAACCCTTTGTGTTTGCTTCTAAAAATGTCATCCTGGATGCCATTTTCAAGGAATTCAGCCTGATGTCAAAAGACATGTCATAACTTTGAGGATCCAGGCTCCAATGTCCCAGAAATCTGTTTATATAGCTCATAATGTAATTACAGCTACCTTAAGACAGATGAGGCAGAAGGCAGCTATATATTGAAAACTAATTGAAAAATGCAGTTGTCCAGAAGCACTTGTGGGGAAGAGGTCTCTGAAAAGCTGCTCAAAGCTTCAGAGTTTGAAGAGAAATTTTTGATGTTGTCACTCTCAATCTATTGAAGAGCTGACAGACAATCAAACCCGTCTGGCTGGCTGGCAGCTCATTTTGCTGGCAGGTGGCAAACAATTAGACACACCAATTTGTGCCTCCTGATGACATTAAAGCATGAAACTAAGTTGTATGCAGGGCCTAGTGATTTGTGTGAAAGCATTTCAAAAATAATACTCTTTGCCGTGGCAACTCATTTCAGACTGCCACCTCCCATTACGGCTTTGAGCGGTGAAGACGACAGACTTGAGTTACGTGCGGAGCATGGCCGCTTCTGTTCAATCCGTCATCAGCGCCCCTAGAGACCTCAATCCCCTCCTTTCATCAATATCACCTCATCATTTACATTCGATAGTACTTGAACTGCTGCATACATTAACTACACACAAGTCCTGCTTGATAAAACGTGTTGGACACATTTTCTGCTTTTAGCTTTCATTTATAACTGCACAAATTCTATAGAAGCCTATTTTCTCTGTAAATTCACTGTAGCCTATCACACAATGCCTCTTATGAACATATTAGCAACATACAATTAAAATTAAAAGAACATGCAGGGAAAACCATGTCATGTTAAATGATGAAATAGAATTCTTAACTTCAATTCTATTTACAGGGGGTTGCTTTATATGGCATTTACCTGCAAGTAAGATCAGTGATTGTACTAAAAAAAATATTTAAAACAACAAACATACTGTTATTTTTCTACTAATTACTTATCAGCTCAACTCCTCTTTTACAAAACACTCAGGCATCAAATCCAAAAATAAAACAAAACAAGGACTGTCTTCTGATTAAAGTAAAAACATTTCTCTAACCTCTATTTGCTTATAAATATGGAATCACTGTAGGTATTTTATAAAAACTGAAACAAATAAAACCTGACAAAACAATACACTTCACTGCTCATGATTCTCCCTAGAGAATAAACATGACCAATAGCCACATTGCTCAGTGAAGTACCAAAAAGCTGCATAAACCACAGCAATAGAAGATACTACAGAAATATTGCCTACAGGCACAGTGTTTGCTTTAAAAAAATATGCAGTGTGTATTATTCAATTGTTATTTTATATCAGTAAATAGAACTATATTTTCATGAGGAAGTATTGGAAAATATTCATGTTGTAATTCTTTTCAGGTTTTCAACGATAATTGGGATACTATAGGCCAAATGAAATTTTCACAAACTACCACAAGCTAAAACTCATGTTGCTTTCTTGAATAATATTTTAATTAATTCTAATATTATTTCAATATAGTATTCCAGGTTCTCTTTCTCTAACCTTTGTTTCATACCACCTGAAAAGTTACAGGGTGAGAATCTCTACCTGCTCCTCCTTTATAATTTGAAAAAACAAAAGCGACACCACCACCAATCTTTTGCCCCCAAAGATTGCCACAGTGGTCAAGTAAGTATTTTGAAAATATGAGCAAAATGCTCAGAGAAGTATTCACGTGAACAGTGGTCCTCAGTCAGTAATGCAGCCATGAGGTGCAAATAGCTAGTTGAGGTCCTGTGGGCTAAGAACATCAGGATTTATATCAAAGCGGCCACAGTTCAATAACATCTGTTTAGTTGCAGAAAAGAATTTAGCATTTTTGATCTGCTGGGACCTGCCTGAACCTGCCAGTTGTCCCTTCATAGTTGTTGGTTATATTGAAAAGCACGATCTATCTCACTCGCCAAAATCAGATGGCAGAATCATCTATTGAACTGTCTTGACAACGTTGATGTAAATAGGTCTTCTCTTTGCTTGAACTTCAATCATTGCCACTTTTGTTTTACTGAAGAAGTAAGCAATGCAAAGGGCTGAAATGGTACGACACACGCTACCAAGCTAAAAACACAGCTCGGTGTGAATCATGGAATCACAACCTGGTCAGCAGGGTAACAAGACAGGGAAAAAACAAACCATTAAACTCTGCAGTAAACTTACTAAGTATAAAATGTCTTCAAAATCTGTAAGCTCTAGACATGAAGTATCTCTCAAATAGTTCCATAATTCTGTATTAGCAGCTACAGCTCATGATGTTCTGAATCACATTGTTGCAAGAAGAATCTAATGGAGATGCTCACACTAAATACAGCTTATGGCCAACCAAATGCAGCTCTTTAGAGATTTTTACAAAGCTTTTATTTACAAATGTAGAATAAAGCTCATCTCTTCAATCATCTTGATATTAAGTTCCCCTAACAATACAAAAGGCAGCTCATAGGATGATACACTCCATTTTAATTTAGGTGTCCAGCATTTTTTGCAATAAAAACAACAACCCTCTGAATGAAGATTTTTTTCAGAATAGAATAGAATAGAATAGAATAGAATAGAATAGAATGGCCTAAGCTGGAAGGGACCTTAGAGATCATTTAATGCAACCTCCCTGTCATGGGCAGGGATGCCTCTCAACTAGATCAGGCAACACATGGGGACCGAACGAGGGAGGTTCAACTAAATCTTAAAACTAAATTTTCTGAAGAGGTTCACCTAAAGTAACCTTTAGGTGGTTACTGTTAGGTGCTATTAATTCTACATGCAGCACAAATTTTTATACCACTTCATGTACAAGAATGCTTTCTAGAGTATGACGGTTCCTCGCAGAGGATAAGGAAAAATTTCTAATTGTATAGGTTTTTAATTTCACATTGAAACTACTCTAAAATCAAAACATGCAGATTGACGACCAAAAAAAAATCCTCTTAATGAAACAGTTGCTAAATAACCTTTCTCCAGAATGGCCTTAAGATCTAAAATATTTTTAGAAAAGGATAAATTAATTTCTCAAAGTTTCACTCACTATTTTAATTTAATCTTTGTTACAGCAGATGCTGTCTAATTGTTTATTGAATTATTTCAGAAAAGCAGCTTTAGTACTAATATACATACAGTCAAAAAGGCATCAGCTTTTCTACGGCATTTATAATGAAAAAATATAACAAAAAATTCTAAAATCCTTACATATCTTCTTGCGCTTTACTGTTTACATTACATTTAAAACATTGATTGCATGTTGTTTTTCTTAAGAATTTAACAAAATAATTTCTGATATTTTTGCAGGCTTTCTGTGAAAGCAGATCGATCTTTCTCACAAATTACCACAAAGATTATTTCCTCAAGAACTTTAATTTTTATACCTGAATGATGAATATTTCTACAATTTTGTTTAAAATTTTGACAGGTTTTACCATATCTTTGAGGTAAGTCTTGATTCCACTTTTTATCCTTTTTAAAAACTTTTTCATGATGAAACTGCAGAGATCTTGCCATACTGGAAAATGTAACATCTACACTCCTAAGACTTAGCTTTTTGCACAGGTTAAGATTGAACCCACAATGGATCTAGTTACCCTTCTTCTGGAAGGATGCTGTCCATTGCACATCTTATCACAACTTCTATGTTGAGGATAACTGAGATGGACTGGACATTTAAGGAAAAGTATATTCATTAGAAGCTGGGAAGCTACAGCCTAAAAGGAGAAACAAAAGACTCTTTGTGGCAATGTTCAGCAGTTTATTTTTAAACATTCACTTTTGAGTGCATTTGCTGTTTAAAGATCTAAAAGGAAACTCGTTTCCACCATGACCATGCCAACAATTTGCCATGGTCAAAGCATTTCAGTACCAGAAAACAGTGCAATGATGGATCGGATTAAGACTTAAACCATTGAAAGAATATTCAACTGAATTTCTGCAGTCTGTTCTATATCAGCATATATTACCCATCCTCCTCACTAAAATGCTGGTTTAAAGGAAAAAAAAGATTTTATTGCAAAAATACTTCTTTACAGCAGGCTCGTTTTCCAAGTACCTCATAGAGATTTATTCGCTGCCGACAGATTGAAACAAGGTGAATTACTTTTTTCTATACAGTCCATTTTGGTAACACAGAAAAGAAGAAGTAATGCATCTGTTTTTTAACATAGTCTAATACCAACTAATAGAAGAATAACCATGTTTAAAAAAAAAATAATCCTTCAAAGTCCTGAATTATATCAATATGAAATAATGAATCTAGCCATATACCTGTCAAACGAGTGAAACTGCATGGGAAGAATGGCCTGAGCTTCTCTCTTCAGTGCAGGATCTGGGTAAGGGATCGGATCCGGACCACACTCTGCAATTTCCACAGGGGCTGCCACAAGACTTTTCAGTATTTCCTTGACATTGATGCCTTTACTTTGGCTGATACTGGATATCGATGATGCAGGTTTCAGGATTTCACTGGGGCTTTCTGTTAAGCTCTCCTCAGATTTCTTCACTTCTGAAGACAAAGTAGACAAGAGCTCGCTCATAGCATCAGGGCCTGTGCTGGTCTCCAAGTCAGTCCCATTCAAAATACTGGGCATTTGTTCATCTCCAATTCCAGAATCTGTATGAGGAATAGAGCTTTCCAGCTGAATATCTTCAACTGGTGTTGGCGTTTCCTTATCTTTGATATTTTCTGGAAATACAGTTGGTGTCTCTGCAGTGAAATAGAGATCACGAACAATATTTATAACTTAGCTTGATTTTTTTTTTCCCTAAAAATGTGATCATAGGGTTTTAAAAGATGGAAATGTGATAGGAAGCCTACAAATCAGTAAAACTCATTTTACATATGAAACATTTTGCTTTCAACAGCTGTTTGTCATATATAAAGGCTTGGAAGACGGAGCCCAAAGTCACTAAGCAAGCTCAGTGACAGTTAGAAATTACAGTTCACACAGTAACCAAATCGCAAAATACTGCCAGTAAAAACAACATTAAAAATTATAATCTATAGACTGTATATTTATATGATCTCTGAGACTACTAGAAGAGAACAATGCAATCACTTAGGCTTTAGGATTACTAGAAAATTTAGTCTTTTTATTGCTGTCAGTAAATATTAAGCTTGCACTCAAAAGAAAACTGCTAGACCTTTTGTTTGCTTTGTCTTTTGTTGAAAATCTGTTACACACATTTTAATGCAAATATCAGTACCTCTAATATAGATTTATTTATATATGAATGAAAATAAGAAGTGTTATTGTTGATTCTTTAGATAACTCCCCCTTCCCCACAAAAGGTAAAATACTGTAATCTTTTCAGGCTAATGTTAAGAGCAAAACAATTATGTCTTTATAGACACAGGCAAGTAAAATCTATTGAATTTGGAACATTTTCAGATTGAAGTGGACTTTTATAACATCTTGTAAACGAGAAAAGTAGACTTCTCTTAATTACTTCAGCGAAACAGACACAACTTCATTAAGTAAGAATAATTGGTTAGATTTAGAGGAAATTTAGCCAGAGTTGTGAATAACTTCCATATTCATCTTTTTGGTTACATTTTTTTAGAGCAACAGTGTGACTATTTTCAGTGCTGAGCCTGCACTGAAACTGATTTTTAAATTTATTTTCAAACTACCTTATTTTTATTGGATCACCTATCCTTATTATAAAATTTAGCTGGCTTATGTATGAAACAGGAGGAGAGGGTTTTTTTGATGGTTCCAACATAGCAGTTTAGATATTTTGCAAAATATATTACAACATACTTAGATGAAGCTCTGCCCTTCTGACTATTCCATTTAAAATGTCCTTCGGCAATATAACTTTCATAGACATCACATATTTTATTAATAATTGTTTTACAGAGTCAGGTGTAAAGTATCCATATATTTACCACATAAGTGTGTATGTATGCGTGTGCACATAAAAAATTCAATATGAAATTATTTATGTTTGAACTAACGGTAGTGTACACCTCTTCATGTGCATTAAAAAACAGATATAGATAGAACAGAAGAGGCTTTTAAAAATACAAAGCAGGATAACCCATTATAAAAAGCATTTTTTCCTTAACAGCCACAAACGCTGAAGCCACTTCCTTCTTCTCTTTCTCCTAAATGCCTTAAACACATCTTATCAAATAGATATGAGCCTGGCTTTGTGAAGCAGGAAGTACAAACCAGATTTATGAGCTGCACAAAATGCACTTAGCATCTGCTGGGTCAGGAAGTAAAAAAATCAACTCTGCTTAGTACTGCCTACATTTGGCACAGAAGGACATGTGATGCACAGAATGAATCTAATGAATTTTCTGCTTGTTTGTCTATTTATACCTCATCCATGCAAAGACAACGCTGCTTAACTGAAAGAAAGAGTAGGACTGAACCACCAGCGAGGCAGGCTGTTGCCCTTGTAATAGATGGCAAATAAAATAGTATAAGGTACTGTTATTATATAAATTAAAAGAGGATGCTAAAAAGAAGATGGTCCACTGCATGGTGAAGTTAGAGAACACCTAACTTCTGATTTCATTAAGGGAATTTCATTAACACAAAACTAAAGTCAGTAAAGCTGATGGTCGTGGAAATTCAAATACCCTAACAAAACTACAAGAAAGATCTTAATGTATTAAAGTCATAGCAACTGGCTCATAGCCAATTTTGAAACAAGCAGTCTGTGGAATAACTGGTCTAGAGTAGTAAGGTTTTTTTTTACTAAGTGGAGATAGCAACCTATGACTGGAGAATTTCAAACATGATTTTTTTTCTTTTTAAGAAAGGGAAAAAATGACCCGGAGAACCACAAGACTTTAACAGCAAGCATGATTTCAGGATTTATTTGGAGTAAAGAATAGCAATGGAACAGAATATGACAGATTACAAAAAGGCTTTCCTAAAAGAACATTTTAAATATTTATTGATCAAAGAAAATAAGGGCCAATATACTAAAACTCAGTAAAGCTGAAGTTGTTAAAACAGATAGTAATCTAGTCAGGAGAATCCAGAAATTAATAGAACGTGTGACAAGAAATTGGCTAAGAAGGAGCTATTAAACAGTTTCAAAATTTAAAAAAAAATTGGACTGAGAGAAACTATCATGGCAGCTATTTAATTTAAAATTTTAATAAAGATTTCAAGTGAAAAAGTAAAAACATTCTGGTGAAATTTGCTGATGACAAAGTTACAAGGTACCACTGATGGCCACAAAAGGATGATTGGTGATCCTTCTCTGGCAGGGGGGTTGGACTAGATGATCTTTTGAGGTCCCTTCCAACCCGTAACGTTCTGTGATTCTGTGATTATAAGAAGACATTATGACAAAACTGCATTTAATAGTGAAAAGTTATGCATCCAGTGACTAACACAGAGATGCCCATTGTAACTGGAATTCATTAATTGAAAATGATGGAAGAGAAGGACCTCTTTACATCGGTCACCTGGATACATTCAGTTACTAATACAACCCTGCCATGGAGAAGGCAAATGTGACTCCAAACTTTTCTGAATAAACAGCTCCTCCAAGAGTTAATTGGTAATGGCATGAGAGAAAGTTTTGTCAGGGTTTGTTATGGAATACTCTATACGTTATTATATTTGAGAAGGTGGAAGTGCCGCTATGGAGATCCACAGGGATCTACTGTTGTAGAAAAGAAGAACTTGGCTGATGCAGTCTGGCCAAACTAATAATGAGAGGATATACAACAGCTATCATACATGTATTTTCAGGATGTAAACCCCGAAAACCAGATGAGTTTGCCTGAGAAAAACTGAGTGCAAACACACCATGAACAAATTCAGTTTGGGAAGTGACAGTCATCAATTTGGAATTATGATTCTGGAATAGCTTTGCAGTCTGAGCAGCAAGTTCAGAAAACAGAACTAATTTTGAGATGCTATAAATAGGATTTAATTACTCAGCAGGTGGCTTGTAATCCTTTGTTCCCAAATGAGAATAAAGTGTCTAGAGAATTGCATCATTTGAAGCTAAAAATGAAAGAAAAATTTAATCTGTGGATACAGAATTTAGATATGACATACTATAAAACACACACCACTAATTAAAATGATTTAGGAAAAAAAAAATCAAAATAAGTTATTCTATATACAGGTTAAGTGTACAGATACTTGATTTCCACAGAAACCAGACTTGTATCTTTACTTTTCTTACTGTACCTCCAGTACCTAATATGAATACACTGCTCTAAGTCAATTAAGCTTAGTCTGATTTATCCCTATGAATAACAAACTCTAAACCCTACCTAAATCCAGCGTACTTACTCTCCTTCTTAAAAAATCAAGTAAGCTAAACGAAAAAGGTTTTTACGTTTGTTAGTCAAAGGAAAATAAACTCAGAAAAGATAAAACTGCTTAAAAATTGGCTCTCAAAGAACAATACTAGAAAATCAGTATTTGTGAAATTCAGATAAGTATGTCTGAAAAGATGTACTGTAAGACACTGCATATCCACAAATTTTGTTCTATGTTCATTTATGCTTTGTCATAGCATTTCTGTTGCTTTCAGAATTCAGGAATAAAGAATAACGCTTGTAAAGTTATTTAGAAAGATCTTAAACTGGTAACGTGCATGCTTTTACAAAAATCCTAAATACTCAAAGCAACTTAGCAGAATGATAAACATGAACAGAAGCAAAAATATAACTGATTGCATCTGTCTATGCTACAACATTGTGACAGTGAGCCTGTAAATTTTCAGCAAACCTCATCAGTTTTCTGCAGCACAAGGCCATGTCAGTAGACAAAGCAGAAACATTACTAGATCTAGTGATCTTAACCCTGTCAGAAATAGGCAGTTGGAAGCCAGATGCCTCCTTCTTACTGGTTTTCATTGTAACTAATGAGCTCGTCTACTACATTATGGGAAAAATATGGGCTTAAGTTAACTAAATGACATATTGTATATCTGGTGACCTCATCTGTCACGCTCCTTCCCTAAAATATCTTGTTTGCTTGTGATTTATGAAGTGTATTATAATTGTTTTACCCTACCAAGTTACCTAAATAGCTCTTGCACTGCTTCCATATGCCTAAAAAATACGAACTCCCAATGTTTATTAGCATAATAATGAGACATTTCATGTCTGCAGTGGATATATACAATATTGCCATTATAAAAAATGACAACACAAAATATTGTGCTTTTAATCTTTCTTTACTTTTTAAAAATGGAAAAGTTGTGTGTATATTACACTGTGGTGCTTTTTAATTTGAATTTCTTTAAATCTCCCCACTAGATAAAAATCAACTGAAAAATTTCAGAAGTAAAAAATTTAAAAAAATTATTGTTTTTAACTGCTTACAATAAGGCTAAAATCTATTTGATATTTGCTATCCCAAATAATTGACAAATTTCTACTGTAAGTAGTATAGCAGCATTAGGCAACAGAAGGTTTGGGGTAATCTTGATATAGGAGTTGCTGCCACCTTTCAGTCTGCATGTGTATTGGAAAATTTTACTTGTTTTCTGTATATTTATTTTAAGACATTGATAACATTCTTATTAGCTGCCTTTTATATACCCTTTTGTAGTACTCTACAAAACTTCAGGGACAGTACACTACAAGCTGAAAAAACTTTCATCCCAGCCAGGCAGTGACTCCATAGGTGCTGGAGTCAAATATTCAATTGCTAAGCTCTAGGCTATAAAAACAGTGGAAGAATTCTTCACAGCAACATCAGTCTACCAGTTCTC